TGAAATAAAAAGGCAGGATTCAGCTCCCTACAGGTAAGGGTAAAAATCTGTTCCAAAAAGCAACAATTTTTGATGTATATATTAATTATTTACCAGTCTGAACCACAAGAATTAAGTGTGGTGTAAGTAGTATTGCCATTAGGAAGACAACACTTCCTGAGCACCTGTCAACAGGTGCTTGTAAATAAGAGCTTCACGAACACACAAGTGAGTGATTTTAAAGGAATATAAGGGTGTAGTACTATAAAAGTGTATGGTATTTTCCTATTTCTGTGTTTTTCTTTTAATTGTATATTAAAGATAAATCTCCCTGCATATACTTTTTAAAAAGAGTATTTCATATGAATAAGTTCTTCCTTCTTTTGCATTCTGCTATGTAATCTAAGTGAAATCTAGGTAAACCAGGTATAGAGAAGCACTGTAGATGTGCCCAAATTTGAAGGGTCTGTACAGCGCAAACCCATGACACAGCATATAACTAATTCTGTTTCACGCTGGGGATTCTGGGGCTAACCAGTGCACCTATAGTGTATCACGTATCTGGCAGACATGGAAACTCTTAAACAAAGAAATTAAGAGCTCTGAACGTGTAAAATTGTGATTCTGGCTGATGTCTGGCTGCACAAGCAGCATTTGCCAATCTTTATATTGACCGTCTGTCAAGCATATGAAACATAAAGCTTTTGCCTGGTTTGGTGTTATCTACTAGGTGGAGATGAGAACTGCAGCAAGAACTCTGGAGTTGCCATGGATGCCTCTCTTTCTGCAAGCACTTGAAACTTACCCAGAATATTTTTAGACTCCTTCATTTCAGAAAGGGAAATATTGCGAGCTCCTTTGGGCAATGTAAATGCTCCTCTTGTCTTCCCTTAAATAGAACGTCTGTAATTAGTGTTATGGGAGAAAAGTCCTTTCATTGACTAAATTGAGAGCTAGATGTGCTTTACAAATATGATGCATAAATTTCATTATGTGTTCAAATACGTTTAAAGTAGTACTAGACACATCTAGCAAATTTTAATAGTCAATGAAAGGTAGACCAGTAGGTAGGTGATGATAAGTTAGATACTTGCAGATTTCATTTTCCAGCAACTTGAATTCTTTTTGGCACCTCTTGCTTAAATGTTTTCCTGTTGAAAGAGGTCAGTTAGTCCTTTAAATGACTAGATTGCCAAAGTTACTGTAAAACAACTTAACATTTCATAAACACAGACCATTTGGAAAGAAGCTGCTGATCACATTAGTCTTTCCTGAACTGTCTCCTAGTACTGCCTGTTGTTCTGCTTTCCAGACACTGAGAATACTGTTAAAACTTCAATCTGAACACTGTTGCCACATAAGAAAATGTAGTGGTCCTCCGTGGCCCATATGCAAAAGTGTCAAGACGGAATATCATGTGGTCAGTAGCATATTTTGCCTTCTGCTGGCCTCCGTTTTGCCCTCTTCTTTTTCCAGAAATTAAGAAACAAACTCATTAGAAAACAAGGTCTTAATTAGACCAGGTCCAAGGTTGTTACATGGATATTCCCTCTGCTGTAGAAATTATAATAACTTTTTTAAGGGAAAAATCACAAACACTCTTAGGAGATCAAGTATTTACTTCTGCTAATTACAGCTTTATGTCAGAAAGGCACAGTAACCGCCTGCTCCAGAAATAAGCACGGCTATATGTGAAGCTCAAGCTGATGTCCATTAACATGACAGTTAATCTTGCTTCGAGGCAGCAATTAGCAGCATTTTAACTGTTAAGACAGAGACTCACTGTACCTGCTGCTAAGCCTTCACCCGCTCTATCTTAAAACACTTTACAGATACTACTGGAATAGCAGTGTTCTCCATCACACAGGAGATCCATGCTCCTGAGTAGTTTGCTAGACTTAACAATATAGAAAAGCCTTAAAATGTAAAAATATATACAACAAAATATACAAGAAAATGCTGTCCTAGCTCAACAAATAACTAAACAGATATTGTTGAAGGAGTCCAAGTTCGTAAATTATTTTTAACACAAAACGTGCACAAGAGCAGTCTGAAAATGTTAACCATGTCCTTCTTGTTTTTGAGCTAACTGGATGCTATTATATGCTCCATTTGGTATCAGTCACACAGCTTCAAATAGATGAGAGACGAGGACTCTAACCAAAGCATTTTTATATTTGGTTCAGAATTAAGCTGAATTTATTTTTTCATTATTTGACTAGAGGGCTGAAGCATTATACAAGACCAATTTGACATGAGCATCCACTTCACAAATCCTCCATGAGTTTTGATTGAAGAGAGAAACTTGTGAAACTCTGAAATCTAGTCCTCCTGTATAGGATAGGATATAGATAAACGGGTGCTACACTCAGCATCATGTGAATAACCTAAATTTCTTCTGTATTTCACTGTTAGAAGAACAGACTGCTGTTTTTGTTTTGCATGACTGGGTGGATCCCCAGTGACCACAGACACTGTTTGACTGGGCTTCAGCAGTTAAAAAGAACAACTAGACAACTATGCTCTGCATAGTGAGTATTTCTGGATCACTAGATTTGTCAAGCTTTCTTCTCTAGGTCCTTTAAAAGACAGAAATATTTCAGTGTTATTAAAAAATGCAATTTCTTTATCAAGAACTACACTATTTTTACAGCATAATCTTGCAATTTTGATTTGAATATTCTAAAATAGGTTGCACTGCTGACCAGCATGCAAAACACCAGAAAACACCAGAGACAACAGAGGCCATACACAGACGCATGAAAATGCGACTCCTACCAAGCTTTTTGGGAGTCCGGGTGAAGGTTCCCTTTACAGTTCGGCAATGAGAGTTATCACCACCACAGACACCACATTTATCTTCAACCTTATTGGAACCGATCTCCTTGTCACAACCCACTTTCTGCAGAAGGAAGAGCAAAAGGAGAGAGGGTTTTGTCACCTACTGTAGCTTTAGTTATGGTATAAAGCCATCTCAAAATGAAGGCATAACACTGATATATTCAATTTAAAAACAGTTTTTTTGAAATTCTGCAGCTGGATAATGGTTTCAGCATGAAGAAGATCTTGCATTATATTCCTTGTTCTTCACGACTGAAAAAGCATGGGTCTGACAACAGAATAATCGCAGATTGGTTGAGGTTGGAAGGGACCTCTAGAGATCATCTAGTCCAATCCCCCTGCTCAAGCTGAACACAGATCTCACAAAAGAAAATAAGGAAAGAAAGAAAAAGCAGATGAAACTACCAGTTTGAGAAAATGCAGTATTTCTATGGGATAGGCCCTTGCTTTAATTTAATGTAAACGTAAAGTAATTATGAAGAACACGACACTGCAAATATTTACTTTGAAAATGTCTTCCAAGTCTGACTCTGCATTATATACTGAGTTCTTTGGATTGATTCATTAAGGAACACAGCGCAGTTCAAACTCAACGATGACCTTGGGAAACTGTCACTCACCACACACTCTCCACGAACACAAATGCTGTATGGATCTTTATAGGAACAGCGAGTCCCATCATGTGCCAGCTGTTTCATATAAGCCACATCTCCTGTTTCTTTGGATTGGCAGTACAGGTGACATCTCTTATTAGCTATGCATTAAGGAAACAAAGTGCAATTGCATAAGTTAACAGCAATCCAGATGAGCTTCAAAAAAATATCCTATTAAAGGAGAAAAGAGAATATAACAGAAACATAAAGGACTTTAAATAGACAGCTTTGAAATCAAAGCCCTTTTTAAGAAGGTGTCAATGCTGCGTTTCTGAAAGTAGCTTTCACTCCAATCCTGCTGAGAACCAGGAAATCACACGGTGGCCGAATAATCACAGCTGGGTTTTAAAAACGAGTCTGTATGAAGATGGTGCTAAAGCCTCATGAAGCAGGGAGAGGACCTGGATATGTAGCTCTTTTAGCCTGTTTGGAAAATGCCAGCTGAACACACATTTCCTAGTCAGTGGTTTCATGTGACTCCCTAGCCATGAATATGAAGGGTATCTCAGGAGACAGAGCATCTCTTAACTCAGGACAAAATGTCAGCAACTCAAGGCCTCTGTGGGCCCTTTCAATAAGCTAAGAATCAATTTTGGACTTAAAGCTATCCATGTGCACTGCGAGTAAAGTGATAGTAAAGACTGACAGAACCAGGAAATGCTATAAGGAAAGGGAAAACAGTTTCAGTGGAAGTTACCACCAGCAGTTGTGATCAAACATTAACACTTGGCACTCTTGGGAAGAAGAGCTGCATGGGAGTGAGGGCAGGAAGAGCTCCTTCAGGACTTGAAGAGGCAGTTCTGCACACTTTGCCCAACAGCAGAGAGCCAGAGTGACAGTGCAGTGCACTAACAGCTATGAGCACTCTCAAAAGGAGCTGAGAGCCACAAGCACCTTGTTAGATCATATTCTCGCTAGAAATAGGATGATATTCCTACGTGCAGTAAACTCAATAAGTGGACTTACAGTCAGGGTGTTCATATGGCAGCCAGTGGTGTTTGCTGTTCTGATACTCAAAGTGAGAGTTGCGCTGCTGACACTGTTGTGCTCTGAAGTCCTCAAAGTGCTTTGGACACTCTTCTGTATTGCAAAGTTGAAATTCAAAATTGACCCCAGCACAGTCTTCACCTCCATTAATTGGCCTATGAGGAGAAAATATTAAAGAGAGTCTTTAAAAAAAAAAAAAAAAAAGAAAAAACCTCTGGACATTAGGACTGTGGATTTGAGGGTGACAGAGCACTGGAACAGGCTGCCCAGAGAGGTTGTTGAGTGTCCTTCTCTGGAGATCTTCAAAACCCACTTGGACACCATCCTGTGCCACGTGCTCTAGGTGACCCTGCGTGTGCAGGGGGGGTGGACTACATGACCTCTAGAGGTCCCTTCCAACCTTAGGCATTCTATGATTCTATGATTTTTCTTCTAAGTGAAATTTTAGCCTTAATTTTAAGTAACAAGATGGCAAAAAAAAGTGAGCACTCATAGAAATGGAAACAGAGCAGTTATACTGCAAGGCATGCTTTTGCATGGAACTTCTGTGCTTGCCCATACACCCCAAAGGCACATGCTCTAATGCAGAAGCCATGTATGTGCAAATACATGCTGCCAATAATGAATTTACAATTAGCTGTTACCTAACAGCCCACCATGAAGTTTGGTGAACTTGTGTACTACATTCCCTTTATTCTTTTACAAAGGTTAAATATGTTATGGTATGATCTAACAGGCTTTTCTCTCACAGTCCTTAAATTCTCCAAAAATGAGCCTGGTTTTCTGCTAAAATATGTTTTTTAAAGGGGCTTGAGCAGAATGGAAGTTTTAGCAGAATCTATCCTATGGTGTAACTGTCATTTAAACTTGCTGTTAAGATTTCTAGACAACTGGAATTGCCAACTTTGCCAACTTAGCTAAGGGACTTACATCGGATTGTTGCACTGGCGTGTTCGGAAGCGAACTCCAGTTCCACAGGATCGTGAGCAGGAGCCAAATTTTGTCCAGGGTCCCCAGTTGCCATCCTGCTTCAGCTGGTTAGTGTTCTTCCACATGCAGTGGCCTTTATAGCACCACTGAGGGAAACCAGGCAAACAAAACACACAAGAAGAGAAAAACAAACAAACCAAACGTTTAATCACAAAAACAAGTTAAAAGCATAAAGATGTGAACTCATGGGGCTAAGAAGAGACAGCTCAGAGAAAAGACTGGAAACAAACCAGATCTCAGACTTGGCTGGGGCCTTAGTGTCAAGGGTCTATGCAAGTAGCTCATCTCCCCCTGTGACTGCAGTCAGCTCCACAATAAGCAGCACTGCTCAACCTGACACATTTCCTTCTATAGGCAGATGCATGAAGCTCGTCATGTTCTGCCCTTGTTTCAACTCTTTTAAATAATTTGTTTCATTTGAGTCTTAGTCTCCACCATCTTTTTAAAGGAATTTTAATGTTCTAAATACTGTATCATAGGATCAAGTTCTTGCTGAGGCTGTTTCTGTGTTTTTTTTTCCTCTCTCTCTCTCTTTTTTTGTCCTTATATTGACCAAATACCATTTTAAATAGGTAAAACAGAGGACTAGTCACTGGGCACAGTGTTCTTTTTTTGCCAGGTTGAGCATATTCAGATGGTCTAAGTGGCTCTCCTGCATCTCAAAATACATGGCATTTGCTAAAAGAAACTTTTATTGAGTATAATTTTATAATTAAAAATGGATTAACAGCAGGACACCCACTAATGGGAGATATTAAAAGGGAAAAATAAAGAGTTAATCCCAAGTCTCCATAAACATTTGGCCACAGAATGTCTGGACCACAAGCACTAAGAAGAGTTTTGGACTGAGTTTTCCCATCCTACAGTAACAGCATTATCTGCTAGGGTGGATTTCCAATGACACTTTATAGTATTTGGCAGATGAGTCAAGAATCCAAAAAAGGTAACAGAAAGGCCCCAGAAGAGACTGAGAAATGGTTACATCTAAACTGTGCTTCCAATGTGCTGAGCCACCACCAATCACTTGGTACTACAGCAAAACTCGTACAGTTCATGGAACACTGCACTGGGGAAGCACTTCTGGCTCCACTTAGGAGGTGCTGGGCAATTCCCTGGTTTCCTAGATGCCCCTCAACCTAACTCAAGTTGAGAAACCCTGCAACCGTTATTTATTTATTTATTTATTAATAAAAACATACCAAAGGCACAATACTTACTTTTCCGGGGGCACACTCCGTCCCATCAAGTGGAGGCCCTTTCTTAGTCTTACAGAAATACGGGTTATCTGGATGGCTGCACCACAACTGCTTGCATGGGTCAAAGGTTCGGAACTGAAAGGCAGGATATTCAGGACATGAAATTCAACATTTGATTATCAGTATTTTTCAGATAAGGATTCCAACCACTCAGTGAATTAATCTCTCATACAGGACTATCAATAAGTAAAGCATCTTCAGAAAGAGAAGGGCGGTGCTCATGGCCTGCATGTCTTGGTCCTAGGCTAGTCAGAAGAAAGAAGGAGACAGCAAAAAAAAAAAAAAAAAAAAAAGGGGGGTGGGGGTGGGAATTTTTTTTTTTTCCCTTTTGTCTTGGAATGACAGATTTGCTATTACAACTCGGTCATGGGGGTGATGGTGCTGTTTACCTGGCCATTAAACTGAAATTACTAGGTTTCATCTATAAATCTCTCTGTCCTCCCTACATGACTAAACTACTCTATTAAGCGCTTGTCAGCCACGAAAAAAATGCATGCATAGCAGTTATTAAATAAGGCCAAATGCTGAATTGACATTTGTCTTCGCAATGACTGCCTTGGACATACCGCTGTGCACATTTTGTAGCCAACACCAAAATCAAAGCGGCACTGTTCATCCATGGAATAGTTGATGCCTGGCAATTCAGGAAGCTTAGGCCAATCATGTTCAAAAGGGTCATCAAGAAGGCAGTCATAAGAGCTGTAGAGAGACACAGGAAAAAAACCATGAGAAGACTCAGTAATTGCAGTTTGCTCAACTAGGTCAACATACTTATTCTTAGATGTCAATACAGGCAATTCTCCTTCTCTCCAATTCATTTTCTATCCCATTTACATACACTTATTGCTCTCTGCAACACAGACAGTCTTTTCTGTAGGAGTGTTGCTTAGTGCAACGTGACTTGGCCTCAGATAGGACTCAGCAAAATCCCTGAATTTACTGGAAGACCATAGAGAACCATCTCCAGCCTTTCTCTGCCCTAGAGATACATGTGGAACTTGTGCCTTATCTTCCTGTCACCAGAGGTAGAAAACAGATATTCTCCAATTCTCACTGCCAAAGGGAAACATCTCAGCATGCATCAAACTGCAGTATGGTTCGCAACATAACGCCTCGCACAAAATCCATTGTAGTCAATGGGAGCCTTTCCACGGGAAACGGGAAAAAAAAGAGTGTGATGGGAAAGGAGCTGATTAGAAAGCAGCGTGACCAAAGGAGGCCAGACATGGACTGTCTTGCTGGGGTACAGACAAGCCTACCAGGATGCTTTTGAAGACTCAGTCCATATTTACAAGTCCTTACTGTATGTATCTTTTGAGTTCTTGGCCGCTGCACCTGGACCAGTGGTAACGGTGAAAGGCAGCCTGTACCAAGGGAGCCATAACACTCCCCATTGCTGTCTCATCTCCACATCTGTTCCCTTGCCCATCATGCTCCATTCCCAACCTGAAGGAGAAAAAAAAGAAAAAAGCAGTATGAAAGCTTGGGTAATTTTTGCTTTACAGCTCTACAACTGGTAAAAGATCTGCGAAGAAAACAGTCTCATATGGACACGTAATCATTCAAAATGATTTTTTTTTTCAACTTCACAGATATCAACTGCATTTCAAATAGGTATCTCCTTTGATGTCAGGACACCAAGGACTCTCTGAATACTCTTGCATTTATACTTCATTTTATTTGTTAACACCAGGAATGAGGTAACTAGATCATGATTTCTGCTCATGCTTCAGATAAAGGAAAAAAAAATCAACTCTGTTCATCATAGAGCAGTTTATTCAGGCATTAAATTATTTGTGTTTGTACACTCACATACTAAAAGCACCTATTTACTCATAGAGCTGAACAGGTTAACACGTTACACCTGCAAGTGTGTACCTGGTACAACACCTTAACATGCAAGTGACTTGGTCATTTCAAACTTAGCTAATTTCTTCCTGTATTACTTTTACAGTGGTAGAGAAAAACCCACTGAGGCGTACAAATGAAAAAGAAGCTTGCACTATTTAAAGAAAGAAAGAATCAGGTCAGTACTTGATATGAATTCATTCAGGCAGCTAATGGAGATACTTGCTTAATCAGCTCTTTCCAATCTAACAATTTCTCATTCTCTAAAAAGTGCAAAATCTAACAAATTATCACTTTCAGTCAATGAGAAGAAGTTCATGATGCTTGGCAAGCTTCTATCTCTACTGAATGCAGTGAATTAAGACAACTTCCAAGTTTCTCACTCCTTCTCCCCCTAACTATACAAAAAATATATTCCCTCTTTCTTCCCCTTCCCTTCTTCCCCAACTTACTACTACATTGCATAAAACACTGATGCATTCCAAAGAGATAGAAATATAAACAGCAGTCATATATACATGGAAATTAAACTGGTTTATGCAAACAGGAGATGCATCACCAAATTTAATCTAATTTGATTTAAAAAGTTAGACTTACACATGGCCAGTTTCATGAGCAACAACAAAAGCTGATGAAAACCCATCCTCATGGTTGAGTGTACAGCTTCGGACTGGATGACACATGCCAGTGACAGGAGCATACCCTGTTGAGAGAAATCATGTCTTCTTTTTCTCCATTAGATTTATTTTAAGCTACTCAGCACAATAAGATGTCCTATCTGAGAACAACTCAAGATTATTTTGCCTTGATGGTCTATTTTCTCTATCTCATTACAATTACTCTCAAGTAGATTAAATGGCTCTGACAAATTGCATTTGATTCCCCAGACATCTGTATTAATTCTGACATTTAAACATTTATCACCAGAAATACAAAAGATGACATTTCTGTTCAATTGCAAGATAGGGCTAAAGTCTTTGTTTATTTGTTTTTTGAGTTTTTTTTTTTTTCTTATGTTCATATTAATACCACCACCTACAGCCTGGTACACATCATTGCATGTCTTTTCCCCAGAAAAAGCTGAAATCTTTCTGAAGACAGGAAGGTCTCCCTTGAATCTCATCTTACCAGTTTCACTCTAGACATGCCAGTCCAGACCTGCAGAAGGACTCGTCTCTATTGCATCAGTGAAAGGTGAGGTGTTGAACATGAATATCTAATACATCTTCAGTAGGACACCCCAAACATGATGCACTTCACAAAACAGAAAACTACTTGGGGAACCAGAAATGTGCTTCCACCAATATCATTCACCAACACAAAAGGTTTCTTACTGACAGGCATGTCTAACTGACAGTGAAATTTTGTGGACTCCAGACATTACAGCTGAAGGCACTACTGCCATCATTTTAAATTATATACATTACACTGCTTTCCCCAAACTGAGCCTTCTTCACAGACAAGGTGCAGGACTTCAGTCAAAGGCACAGTGGATGGGCACAGCACTAGAGGAGACCACAGGGACTGGCAGAAGTAATGGAGCCACAGATCCAGCCACAGTGCTGCACTGGACAGATGACTGAAGTGGCCGGAAAAATTCCAGGGTTTAATTATGACAATCTCTCTAAGAGGATAGGTAACACTTAGTGACGGAGTAGCACTACTGTGTGTCTGGGGAAAATGAGGCATAGAAAACAGAAGGAATTAGTCTTCTGTAGAACTAATACTAGACTGCTGTGGTGGGGGACACTAGATTTAGTAGGATAGCTTTGGATCAGAAATTACTCTGTGTTCTGCTTGCTCTTTCTACCTGGGAATGCAAGCAAGAAGCACACAGAAACATAATGTCTCATTTGAGAGGAATCCCCATGCTAGCTCTACCACTGACCACAGCACAAGAGATGAAGTGACTGTTTGGTCTGCGTGAATCATTACAGGAAGGACATTTTGCAGTGTCACTACATGAGAACCAAGAAAATAGAAAAGCTTCAATTTATTGCAGTGGTGCACAGAACAGCACAATTTCAGGACTCTCACCCAGGCAATTTATTACCAGCGACACGAATCAGACTCTATAGGGTACTTTGTGAATTTACCTCCCCATTAGCTTTAGTTCCTTGAGTAATAAAGATGTATACAACTATCTGGCAGGTTGTTTATAAAAAGAAGTCTACAGAGAATAATGTGATAAAATAAAAGCTAAATAAAATACAAAGAGCACTGAGAGTTCCTAGTGTCTCCTTCCCTAGCATACAAATGCTTGCTATCTGAAGAAAGTAAAATACTATTTACTTAACCCTCTCAAAGTGTTTATTTGTTGCAGTCAGACTTAAAATGGCAAGGACATTCATTGCCTTTTTTTTTTCTTTTTCTTTTTTTTTTTTTTTTTTTACCTTGCATACCAGCAGGCCCAAAATCTTGCCTGGTTAAGAAGATGGCGTGATCATGGTGCTCAGAGTGATTGGGATCCGACTTCTGCTGCTGATACGCCCAGCGGCAAACGTTCTCCAGGCTTCTTGAGGGATTCCCCCTTTCAATCAAGCTAATGGACTGAAAGAGCAACATGTTAGACCTAGGAGCTCCTGAAGATAAGAAACCTGCCAAGTTTTGTTCTTCTTGGAGCACCAGTCAGACCTCCATTTCTCTTTTCCTCACTCCTATCTCTCTAAGTCGTGCTAGCCTTATTCCCTATTAGGCAAGTAGGCAGGTTGAGCCAATCCATAATGGGTAGCTGATATTCCCTCTAAGCTTAATGGTCCTTGATCTCCAGGTATACAAGAGCTGCCAGGCAATTTATACCCACACTGTGGGTATGTAACAGTGACTACGCATGTGCGATAGTGCATCTTAGGGATTTTTTTGAAGACTCTATCATGAGTGCTCACATCATCTGTGGAAATAACGGCCTTTTAACATAAAGTCTGTAATCTGCAAGAAAGAGTATCACACACCATGATGCAAGGATTAAATAAGGACATTTTTGCTGGGACATGTTTAAATTCTGGACTGCTGGAAGACAACATGATTCAGCTGAGATAAGTGACAGTGTAGTGACACATACAGTCTCTGTGGAGGGTGTGAATGATACAAACGCATACGACAATGTCTTCAGCTGGTGCAAAGCACTGTTATCTCCATACAAGAGACTACCAATCTGTAATGATTAACATGGATGTATCATGTGATTCTGTGAGATTTTTGCTACCACGTGTGCCTACAAGCTCATTATGTTAGAAGTAACCAAATCTAATCATAACAGAATTATCAAGTTGGTCTTTTCACTTACTCAAATTTAATGCGAGTTAAATGGGAGGTGCATGATCTTTATCAAGTCCTCAAGAGCATGAGAGTTTTCCTCTCATCCTAAGCAATTTAGCAAGGGTTTATTTAAAAAGTGAATGCATATGAGCAGAGAAATCATTGCAAGTACTATCCCAGGCAAATAGCAAAGGAGGGTGCTAAGACTCATGAGAAGGGGGTAATGCAACAACGAGAAAAGGACATAGCTACCTCAGCAGGTTGCTTGCAGAGGGTGCACCTGTCAGCTGGGTTGGTCAATCAAGACCATCATTTCTCCTAAACCAGTTTAATTCCCTGAGGACTCACAAGGACGAGACTTCAGGTTGCAGGGCTGGGCAGGCTGAGCACGGATAGGAGTGCAGCTGCAACAGGATGAGGTGTCCCCCACCACTTCTCAGTCCCCCAGCAACATCAGCAAGAGTGGGTCAGTGCTAACGACTGCTCTCCCTGACTTGAGAGCTGCTTCTCTCTGCACTGCTGCTGCCTCTCACAGCATCAGTCACTGTGACTTGGTGACATAAGAGGAGGATATAGTGGAACAGCAGCTTTCCACTGAGCTGAATCTTTCTAATACGGCAGAAAAAAAAATAGGTTGCTGCTGTCTTTCAGTTTCTATATGATGAATGAGTTGTGAAATGACTCTACAGCCAGACTGGCACCTCTGCCACAAAAAGCACCCGCATGGGCAGCCTCTGGAAGGAGGGCACAAGCACACAGACAGCATGCCAAGAAGGGAAAACAGCTCTCTGGAACTAGCTCTGCAGTACATTTGCTTTCACAGCCATTTCAATGATTCAGAGGGAAAATAATTACAAAGATGATGAAAAGGGAAATTGGTTCCAAGGCTTGCTCACCTTTGCATACCCTAACATGATCATTCGGACCAGTACGACATTTATGTGAACACCCAGGGATTCATCGTGGTAAATTTCATTCACCTAAGAAAGGAGATAGGAAAATAAAAGGGGGGAAAAACATCAGTGATGATACCAAGGGAACTTCCAAGGACACGTATATGTTACTTCAAGTGCTTATACAATTACAGTCTTTCCAAAGGAGTATTCAAGTCTCAAATTATTTCCATGCAGTGAGAAATGTATATTGCACTGCCCCTTGTCAAATTCCCCCTTCACAGAGAACTTACTGAACTCGCATCAGGACAGCTCTCAACTCTAATGGCGTTTGAATCAGGGCCCATAGAAAACTTGTTTGGAGAAAAAAAAAATCAATTCAAGTTCAAACACTGCAAATACTTATCTGAATGCTTAATTAACACAACAGACAGAATATGGGAAATTAGGCTATGCCTGGAAGCAAGGTTATAGCACTGTGTTCAAGTTCACCGAGGAATTTAAGAGCAGATAGAAGTTGCATTAACAAAAGATGAAGCCATTACTATCCAGCCCACATGGCCACCTCTGCTATGCCATCTGGCCACTCAAATTGTGGATGAATTCCAGATCCTGTTATGATTTGACTCATCAACCATTTGTCTCACTTCAGTCAATTCAAACATGTGGGATGAGTATTTTAATGGGGAGAAAGCTAGCGTGTTTTTGGTCATTTCTAAAAGACTATTCGGCCAGTGGCTCTCATTCAAAAAAGTGTGCCATTAACTTATGCATGGGTTTGTCTTTGGAAAATACTTGAGGATTTGACTTAAAGCCATTTTTGCATTATGACACTCCAGGTTGGGAAAGCAGAATATTTAGACAATGAGGTTACACAAACAATGAAGCCACATTTCTGCATACATGTAGGCATGTGTTTAGTTTTGAAGATTTGAATAATACTCTTGCCTCTAAATTATTCTTCAAATTAATGAGCCAAGTGTTTCCAAATCCCAGAAATGCCTTGGAAATTCTCACCTGAAAGTTTCCAAGTCAACAGCATTGCCAGAGACATAAACTCTGTACCATACCACACAGAGTAATGACATCTCAAAATATACTTGACTTCTGTAAGTCAGTGCATTCCATTTAAAAATTCACTAACTGCATCAAAGCATTTAACATTTACATGATCTGGAAAGGGTTACTGTGTTAAAAACAACTCTTAACCTGAGAAAACACCCATCCGTAAGACAAGCTCATGAGACCTCAAAACTCTAATCATTAAGGTCTCAAAAAAACGTACAGGAAAGAGCAAACTTCAAAGTCCACGCAAACCCCCATAACACAGTCTATGGCTTTGCAACAACCTAGGTCAGCAGAAGTCTCCAGTGAGATCTGCACAAACACACTTAAAGCCAAAATTATGATTTAAGTGTTTTTTGATTGTTTTTCAAAAGAAATAGAGGTTAGAAGATCATTCTCTGTGTTAGTTCCTGTGGTCCAATACATTTTAGCCCCGTTTATCACTTTCCAGCAAAACCTCCAAAGTAATAAAGTTCTCAAAGAAATTATGTAGCTACGTTTTGTAAAAATTAGCAGCTGTTTGGATATAGCCATCTTACTGCTGTTCCCATGGAGGAAAAGACTCAAGCCCTTTATCCTACCTCTGAAACTGCCCCCCACACACAGGGAAGCTATCCTTGTGAAGAGAAGCTCTCTCTTGTCAGAAAGCTCAACAACAAGGCAGAAATCCAGGCTAACAAGAGAGGGAAGCCCTTCTCACTGAACAACTGATTTATTTCACAGTGGATTTTCTAGAACAAATTTTTTAAGATAGATCAGTACAAAAATGACCACATAACTCTAAAAAATATTTGTGGAAGTGAAGCTCAAGACCCCAAATTATGTAGATGAGTCAAAATTGTTCTCCTTGAGGAATATCCTTGTATCTGGAAAGGTGAGAAATGTCCCCCCACCACCGTACAAATTAGGGGGCTAAAACAGACACAAGCAGATCATCAGTGAAGTTACTCATCCCCTGCAAAAGAAAATAAATATTGTATTATGGGTGACTGCTGCAAAATAAACACCAGTGTTCAGAGGGAGGCTGGTAATATTTGAACTGGATTTAGAGGTTACTTTTTTTAAAGTCAGGCTAAACAGAACTTCCCCTTTCCTCTGAGGGAAAAAGGTCATTCCAAGTTGTCCAGACTGTGAGACCTGGCACAATGGTTTTAGTCCATGCTTTTTAAAAAATGCAAGCTCCCTGAGGACCAACTGAGAACAGGCTGTCAGCAGGATAGTTCTACCAGGGATTAGGACATAACTCACTCTGCCCGCTTTGTGAAGCAATTATTCCAAAGTTCAATTATTCATCTCTCATATTCTCTCCTCAATAACACAATATTATTGCTCTCACAACAGGTCTCTGTCATAGAAGTGTTCACAATTTCCCTCATACCACAGCAAAGTTCCCAGGAGTGACTTTCATAGATACCACAAGGACCATGGATTACCTAAAGCTTCAAGTCTTATATTTCTTCACAACACCATAGCTCATCCTACACTTTCTGGCCTGCTTGGAGGGCCCCACTGTGCAGGACTCCACATGTCCAGGACAAGTAAGTTGGCGTAAGTAAGCGAATGACCTGGACACAGGAAACTCTGGAAACCTGTAACCTTACTGGAAGGCCACATATCAAAAGAAGTGCTGAAGACTGCCAGTATTGGCTGTAGCACTTTTATACAGCTGAAATTGCATTTACACTGTGGTTATACTGGCAAAACAGATTACATTTCTAAGATACTGGTAGAAGTACAAAATGCATATATAAATCATGCCCCAGTAGGCTTGATCTCTGTGATGTGAACTTGGAAAACAGATCACAGATGTTCAACTGGCCATACAGCTTCTGTTACAGTCTTTGAAAGGAAAAAGTGGTTAGCTTGGGCTTAACAGCAATATACAGAAGACAGACTTAAGTCAGCAGTCTCACTGGACAGTGATGACAACTGGGAGACTCCACAGATGAAGTCGGAAAGTATCTGTTTACTGGATGGATAAATAATTATTCAAACAGACAAAATCAATGTACAGCTGGCAATGAACCCATAGGCTGCAGTTGGGAGGCCTGAGAAAGGGAGATAGCTGCTAAACAAGGGACTTCAGTGTTTACGTGGAGACTCGCCCACGGCTACTCAGCATCAATGTCACAAGTAAACCAATATTTTCAAACTGACGTACGCATAAAACAACAGTTCGAAATAAAGGCATCTTCCAGCCAGACCCTGCTCCCTAAAAGAAAGTGGCTGGATTCTCCTCTGTCAAAGACATTGCTGTTTCCTGTCCCCACAGTCAACGTGTGCAGTTCCAGATTATGCTGAGCAAATAGCAAGGAGAAAATTCAGCTCTTTTGGTGACACTGACATGTGCCATTAGTCTCGACCACAGGTTGGAGGCAAAATTAGAATGAAAGTACCATAAACTAACTGATACATGGGAGAAGTGAGTGTGTAATGACTGGATTCTATAGAAAGGACTGGCAGTAAGAAATCAAGGCAGGCAAAAGGTAAAGTATAAGCCTGATTAAGTCAAATATTAACATTCACCATTAGGAGATTGGAAGAAGTGGGTCTTAAGAACAGAAACTGCTCCCTGTGGCAGGAGGTGAGGGCTTGGAGCTGGTCCATTCTTGAAGCCAAGCAACTCCACTCCACAGCGTGACCCACCCTGGGTCCCAGTCAAGAGCGATGGCTCTCAAACTCTTATATCACTGGCAGCAGAACAGACTGCCTGTAAATAACATCCCCCAGTGCCCTCTGTGAAGCGCAAACATGAGGAATTAAAGTAGAGATTTATCTGCATTTACTTTGCATTTCCCATTTTACCTAGGTGTTGTTTAAAACTCCTTGTAACATGTTAAACGTTACATTGTTAAAATCTTAGCAAGCAAGGCTAAAATACATACCATTCTATCTAAAAAGGCCACAACTGTTATTGCTGCTGACCTTCACCTTCTCAGCCAAGAGGGTTGTTTTAACTTGCCCGGATTCTGTATTGTCCTGTATATTCCCAGTAGATGGAGCCATTGATATTTTAGAAAATCCTTAGAAAACACTTTTGAATTGTTTTTTGAAAGGTAAATCAGCTGAGCAGTTTACGAAGTTATATGCTTGTTTTTAAGAACTATAAAGAAAATATTCCAAAATTGTATTTAATGAAGACTTATTACAGAGAGAAAAAACACTAGAGGAGATGATTTTCTGTAGTTCATCTCCTGCCAACATTGTATTGCTTTGATGTTTTGGTATAAGCAAAGAAACAGCATGACACTCCTTACAAATCCTCCTGTTTAGTAATTCCTCCAAAATAGAGGCTGGGAAACAACAGGAACCAAGACATAGGGGAGATGGCAACTTCTGAAAAGGAAACTTAATGATTGTTTATTTCAATAACCCTCATCTGGTCACACAGCCAAAAGACAAATTTAATGTCTCAAAATCACATTTGTGCTGAAGCCTCACGAGGCATGTGCTTAAAAAAAAAAAAAAACTCAGCAAGTACTGTGTTAAAAATACTTTGTTACTCATAGGAATTAATCACAGTAACTTTTTATCTCAGACTATTTAGGGTCAAACACCAACTTGCTTCCATGTTTGCCAAAGGTATATTAACTCCTATTTCACATTCTTCACAAATTAGCTGTGCATTTTAGCATAATCTCAAGTCACTGCTCATGGAAAATCTGGAAATGGCATTTCTGAACTAGCAAGAACACTCCATTCAAACCGCATGGAAAATGCTGCAGATGACCTGCCTGCTTTATGCAGCCACTCAGATCACTGCAGACATGTCACACAGACACCAGCACTAGCTCCCACTTCTACATGGAGCTACACAGGGGAAAAAAAAAAAAAAAAAAGTGCTGATCTGACTTTTCTATCTGAGGAAGTAACAATCAGGCAAGCAAGTGATAGGGTTAGAGACTAGAAAATGCCAAAATATAATTGATTAATATGTTTTGGTCTTGCTATGCAAATCCACTTTAATTCATAGTTGTCCTATATCTGCTGCCAAAACATTAAGATCAAGCAACAGGCAAATA